GATTCGTTAATTTCCAAACATTTATTATATGCCCTTGGTTACATGACCCTTTCCTAGCTTGTATGATGCTTTCTTTGCTCTATATTCCATATGTTTGTCTTCTACATAATTTCCTCATTTTCACCATGAGCATATGTATTAAATACAACTTAATACACTGAATATACTAAATTATGCACATTTATAAAGGTAAATAGTACAACTTACCTTAAATAATTCTAGACTACATGAGCTTAGCAATTAACATGGGAAATCAACTTGTAATATAAATTTTAAATACACAATAATGTTAGCTACACATGAGCTTAGCAATTACACATTAAAAATTTTATATTTAAATTTAAATGTACATTAATACAAACCTTTAGCCAGACTTGGCTTATCAAAATTATTATACAAATTAATATAAATCCTTTTGCCAGAATTTGCATAGTAAAAATTAATATTATACACATAATATAATTAGCAACACTTGCCTTATCAAATTACACATACATTGATATAAATCTTGGCCAAATTGTCATATCAAATTAATATGTAATATATTATCCACTACACATAAGTAAAATTATATTATACACTTTATATAATTAGCAACACCTTGCTTATCAATTAAACATACACGAATCAAATCTTGCCAGAATTGTCTTGATCAATTAATATTATACAAATTAATATAAACTAAGCCAACTTGGCTTACAAAATAAAATTGTAATAATTATAATCCACTACACATTAAATAAATTTGTGAACTTAACATCCACCTCCTGTCATTTCACATATAATTTATTATGGTAATTACCAATTAATGACTTCACAAATTACCTCTGTTCAAGAAGGGACCAACGGGCACAATAAATTGAAAAATGGTCATTATCTGAATGTAACTAATTATGTACATAACATACAACATAACAAAAGATAATTATTATTTATCAATGTTACATAGACAAGTAGGAATTTGGGACACCTAGTCGCAAAAATGTCCCCCTTTGATACTACCACTGTCATATCCACAATTTGCACTGGACCTATTTAATTAAATGAATATACAATACACAGGAATACTGGTAAACATATATATTTGTGACTGTATAATTAAAAAAAATAAATGGTTTATATATAATACTCAATTACCTAACAGAAGAAAAATAAAATCTTAATATCACTCACTCAATTTGGCTTGATATTAATTGTATCATACTCAGAAAAACCTCACTAACTAAATTTATGAAAACCTGGCCAGAAATATACACAAAACTAGAGAGCTTACTGAGTTTCCTGGATCTGTCTTGTCCAGTCGTCTGATATCTCAAGTTATGCAGGAATGCACATCCGCCAATTTCACCTCCTATTTGAGAGGTGTCAGCACAATTTTAACCTCTAGAGCACGAAAAATTCTTCCCCATTCACCAACGTTTCTAATACAAAATTCAAAACCAAGATGGCGAGTCTCGTCTGCGCAGACGCAGGCTTTTCGTTTTCTATGACATAAATATTATTAAATACAGTATGGCCATCTATTTACATATAAATACTGAATTTCTGGAAAATATATACAGTATTTTCCACAGTACTAGTGATGGAGCATGATAGTACTAGTGATGGAGAATGATAGTAATAGTGATGGAGAATGATAGTACTAGTGATGAAGAATGATAGTACTAGTGATGGAGTATGATAGTACTAGTGATGGAGTACGAGATTCATCCAACTAGGTATATTTCTATACCTAGCTGGATGACTCTTATTGAAGCTAGCTGGCCCACTGGTTAACGCGACAGTTTGGAGTTTTGAGACTCTCTGATCGCGGGTTCAAACCCCACCCGTGGTATGGTTTGTTTGCAGTCGTGTCATTACGTTTTCGTGAGTTATGATAGTACTAGTGATGGAGTATGATCGTACCAGTGGAGTATGATAGTACTAGTGATGGAGTATGATGGTACTAGTGGTGGAGTATGATAGTACTAGTGGAGTATGATTGTACTAGTGATGGAGTATGATAGTACTAGTGATGGAGTATGATAGTACTAGTGATGGAGTATGATAGTACTAGTGATGGAGTATGATAGTACTAGTGATGGAGTATGATAGTACTAGTGATGGAGTTATGATAGTACTATCTGAGTATGATAAGTACATGTGATGGAGCATGATAGTATTAGTGATGTAGTATGAGAACACTAGTGATGGAGTATGATAGCACTAGTGTTGGAGTATGATAGCACTAGTGATGGAGTATGGTAGTACTAGTGATGGAGTATGATAGCACTAGTGATGGAGTATGGTAGTACTAGTGATGGAGTATGAGAGCACTGGTGGAGTATAATAGTACTAGTGATGGCGTATGAGAGTACTAGTGATGGAGTATGGTAGTACTGGTGGTGGAGTATAATAGTACTAGTGATGGCGTAGAGAGACAAGTGGATATATGAATGCCACTGAGGTTGGGAGATAACATTCTCGTCTTCGCATGGGACACACTCGTCTAACTCATGGGTATTTCATGGAGAGGCGTCCTGTTCCACTTTGTGAGAATTGTCTAGTTCCTGTTTCAATTTCTCATAATCTCTTGGACATGTCCTGCTATCAACGCACCACAGAAATTCGTCCTCCGAAGCCTGCACCGCTCTAACTCCCTTACTTTATTTTCCCCCATTTGACAGACTCCATCTTCGACTTTTTGACAGCATCTGATTTATTACACAAACTTTGATAATCCTTCCTTTAGCACTCCTCACAGCCCCTCCTAACTTTACCTCTATTGTCATCTCCACTCTTATTTATCATTAGATCCTGCATCACTTCCTACTCTAGAGCACTGTATGACCCTGGTAGGTTTAGCGCTTCCCTTTATAATAATAGGAGTGTCATGTAATCTTGTATTTGTTAAATCAATAAACAAACAAAAAAAATATTTTCTTCAAAATCGGTCTAATTTTCTTCTTTGTTTCACTGTGAAATGCTAAATTCTTAAGTATCTTGCAGTGTATGGCAATGAGAGACAATTAGGTTGGATATGAGAATGATGAGGATAGTTCTAATTCCCTGGATCAAGAGCCATTCACAATGAAGGCACCACCTAAATGGGACCTGAGGTGCACGAGTACTCCACACTCACCTCTTGACAAAATACAGATGCTGGGGTGAGTCTTCCCCACACCCACCTCCTGACAAGACAGGTGCTGGGGTGTGAGTTCCCCACACCCACCTCCTGACAAGACAGGTGCTGGGGTGTGAGTCCCCACACCCACCTCCTGACAAGACAGGTCAGATAAGATAAGATAAGATTTCGTTCGGATTTTTAACCCCGGAGGGTTAGCCAACAAGGAACTCAAGAAAGTCATGCGCACCGAGGACTGTCTAACTTATTTCCATTGGGGTCCTTAATCTTGTCCCCCAGGATGCGACCCACACCAGTCGACTAACACCCAGGTATCTATTTGCTGCTAGGTGAACAGGACAACAGGTGTAAGGAAACGTGTCGGAATGTTTCCACCCGCCGGGAATCGAACCCGGTCCCCTCCGTGTGTGAAGCGGAGCTTTACCCACCAGGCCACGGGGCCTTTTGGTGTGAGTCCCCCAACAAACCCACCTCCTGACAAACAGGTGCTTTGTGTAGTCCCCCACACCCACCTCCTGACAAGACCAGAGCAGGATGTGAAGTCCCCCACACCTACCTCCTGACAAGACAGGCCTTGGGTGGGTGAGTCCCCAAACCCACCTCCTGTCAAGACAGGTGCTGGATATGATTCCCCCACTCCCACCTCCTAACAAACAGGTGCCTTGGGTGTGAGTCCCCCACACCCACCTCCAGACAAGACAGGTGGCTGGGATGTTAAGTCCCCCACACCCACCCTCCTAACAAGACAGGTGCTTGGTGTTGAGTCCCCACACCCACCTCCTAACAAGACAGGTGCTTGGGTGTGAGTCCCCCACACCCACCTCCTGACAAGACAGGTGCTGGGGTGTGAGTCCCCCACACCTACCTCCTGACAAGACAGGTGCTTGGGTGTGAGTCCCCCCACACCCACCTCCTAACAAGACAGGTGCTGGGGTGTGAGTCCCCCACACCCACCTCCTGACAAGAAAGGTGCTGGAGTGAGAGTCCCTCACACCCACTTCCTGACAAGACAGGTGCTGGGCTGGGGTATGAGAGCCCCCACACTCACTTCCAACAATATTTTAATGTAATGAGTGGCTATATCTACCACTAGTCACATTTCCAGAATTTTCATTTTACAGTTCCCTCATAAGAACGTGAATAAAGTGTGTTACGGGAGAAATAATGACTGTTCCCTTCCTTGGGTCCTCCTGAGTATGAAGCGACAAGTGTGGTGGAAAATAATAACACAAGCTCTTTACAAATTACTTATAATAATTTGATTATTCACGGTTTAATATATACATGTATAAAACAAGGAATAACACGTGCATTGTTCTCTTAAAACATTTCTCAGTCGCAAATCTTGAAATTCCATATATAAGATATATTTCATACCATCATTGCTGCGTAAGACACATAATTAAAAAATGAGAGAGAGATTGTTGAGATGGTTAGGGCATGACGAAAGAAATTAGACAGGTTAGGAGTCTGTTTTAAATATTGTATAAATGAAAGACAGAGAACGGCTGGGAGAGGGAAGGAAGGAGTGTGTCAAGAGGTATAGCCTTGTTCACCCAAAAGGTACTTGAAAGTCGGCTTGAGGGGAGTAAGTGAAGAAAAATAGCGGTTTCTGGTATTTCACATGCTGTTGGAGTGTGAACACGGTAATGTATATGAAAGCAAGAAATTCAACGATCAGGACTTGATTTTTGGAGGTGGGAAGGACAGTGAATCAGTAAAGTCAAGTGAAGATATCTTGGTACAGTTGATTATATCTATCCCGCGATGTCTGCGACATTCTTTAAAAGCAACTACGCTTGGTGGTATAAACGTTATCTTTTAAAGAAAGCTGGTGGGATATAGTTATGTTATAAAGACAAGTGCATAATTATCTTTGAAAGTAAAAGTTTCTGAATCCCACGTCTTCCCACATGGGTTTTGTGCCTCCACAGCGCATCATGCTAAGGTACAGCCTGCCATAAATTGTCCTCAGGTCTATGGTGCCTTTAATGTCCCTCAGCACATCACACAGACATTTGATGAAGATAGTGCCTTTGTCATGGGACCTGAGCGCCATCACTCCTTCTGTGGTTGCATGAATCGTCACAATGTCTTGTGTGACTTCGACTCTTTTGTCGTCAAAATCCACTTTCTCTATGCTTCTTCCCCGGCAGTAGTTGGCCATGAAGATTTTCGGTTTCTTCTTCAGTTGTGGACATTTTGTGTCGGAAAACTCACTCCTAAGATTCTTAAGTTCTAATCTTTTCTTGTCATAGGTCTGAAATTCGTAAGCATTTTCTCCATGGCTCAAGAAGAAAGCTATGAAGGAATCTACGTTGTGCAACTTTGGGTCCTTTCGAATATCTTTGATTGTGTCAAGCGTTTGTTTTTTGGTGAGGTCTTCGTGGATAAAGACCTTATAGCCCAGCTCAGTGAAGATTTCACGAATATTGGTGGAGTCGTGTTCAGCTCCAGCTCGCTGGTATGGGGGAGGGAACTTGTAGTTGAAAACGTAAACGTGGCCCCTGGGAATCGACCTCACTGTGTAACTGCCAAACTCATCCAACTTGAGGTCCGAGGATTGATTGACCCTTGTGACCTAAAAAAAATAAATAATTTCCTGATATGATAAAGTGAATATCTAGAGATTAATATCTATATTCTTCTATTAGAAGGCTTGACCTTCCTCATTTCAATTTCAGTAATGTTACTATAAGTCTCTCCATCAGAAGCTCAAAAAAAATATTTGCATGGTCACACACACACACACACAAACAGCCACACACACACACACACACACACACACACACACACACACACACACACACACACCACACACCACACACACACAGCGAAGAGTCGGGGCCAGGAGCTGTAACTCGACCCCTGCAACCACAAATAGGTGAGTACAAATAGGTGAGTACAAATAGGTGAGTACACACACATAGACGAAAAGTCAGAGAAAACCGAGGAAAAGTGGTCTGGGAAGGAAGAATAGACAGCAGAGCTCAGGAAAGGGGAACAATAGTGGGAAAGGAGAAGAGATGAGTTTAACAATAAAATGGAAGAGAGGATGGCTGTAAAGAGCAAGAAGAAGGAACTACAAGCCACAGCGGCTGGGATACAGAGCCTAGAAGAGGAACCAAAAATGCTGAAATGGGATATAGAGCTGAAGATCAGAACAGGCATGGCACCAGGGACAGGAACCTCAGCAACCAGCGAGGAACATCACACCACTGGGGGCCCCAGGAAAATTCCAGGAAAGTGGCATGTCAATGGGTACAGGGACAGTAGACAGAGAGGGGATTGAAGGAAGAGAAAGAGACAAGTCCCTTGCAGAGGCGTTAGCAGGCCATTGTGATTCCCAGTAATTGTTAGGGAAAACAGCAATGGAGATACTTAAATTGGACCATGAGATAAGAAGGGGAATGCAATGAGAGGATGAAAGGGAGAATTCAATCTTTGTTTATGGGTTCGGGAAGTCAAAGGGACATCATACGAAGATGACAGGGGAAGGAAAAAGGTTGAAAATATCATGACACAGACAGGAGAGAAAGACATGACTCAGATGACAAATTTTAATAGAATAGGGGAATACTCACCTCAAGAGGGAAAAAAAAAACTCCAAACTAATTTTCAAGTCAGAAATGGTGTGAAACAGCATCCTGCAGCAGAAACCACGACTAAGGGGTTAATCAAGTTACCAGCAGGTGTACCTTGACCACAACAGAACATGAGAACAGAAACAGAGAGGATACAAAGACAAAAGGGGCATGAGAGTCAAAGATAGAGATTGGCAGGGGACATCAGAACCAGAACAAAGAAACACAACTTCCATCACAATCACCCACAGAATACCCTCAACCCCCACAATCCCATCACAGCCAGACAAATTAACCCAAAACATTCTACACTCTGCAACGAAAGCCCCCCCCCCCCTCCACATCACAAACTCCACCTTCACAGCAACCTTCCATAATATCTTGTCAGGTCTCCCACTTTTCCAGCCCCCAAAGTTCCCAGAACACAGCACTGGAAAAGAAGCTGAAGGTATGGTACACCAATTCAGATGGAATAACAAATGTGAGTGACAAAAGAATCACGGAGGCATCCCTAGACACTACAGCACTCAGGGAAACAAAACTCATAAGGATAAGATATGTGATCTTTCCATCCGGATATCAGATCTTTAGGAAAAACAGGGAACAGAGGGGCAGGAGGAGTTGCTCTGCTCATCAAAAGCCAGTGGAGTTCTGAGGAGATGGAAGGAATAGACAAAAAGGAAGGAATGTGCAGAAAGGAAGCAAGGGACTACAGAGTAGGAACACTTCAAACTGGGGATCCCAAGGTGGTGATTGCAGTTATTTACAACATGCCACAGAATAGCAGGAGGCCAAGACAAAAGTATGATGAGAGCAATAGGGCAATGGTGGACACACTAGCTGAGGTGGCCAGAAGGGCCCATATGGGTAGAGCAAAGTTTACTAGTCGTGGGTCATTTCAGTCACAAGGAGGGAAGACCTGGAGCCACATGGGGGACCAGAAATGTGGAGAGCTAAGATGATAGAGGTGGTATTGGAAAACCTCATGCATCAACATGTTAGGGACACTACCAGAGAAAGAGAGAGAGGAGATATAAACCAGCAAGGCTGAACCTCATATTCGCCTTGAGTAGTTCAGACAATGGGTTCCTAAGCTTCAAATACATTGTGGGGTTAAAAGGGAAGAATAAAGCAGCATGAGTAGGACGGGAGAAACGAAACTACAAAAGAGGGGACTGCACAGGAATGAGAAATTTCGTGCATGAAGTACAGAGGGAAAGAGCCGGTGGAAAAAATACATGAAATGATGGAATATATGACCACAAAATGCAAGGAGGCAGAGGAGAAATTCGTACCTAACAGCAACAGAAACAGTGGAAAAATCCAGAACGAACCTTTTGTTCACCCAAAGGTGTAGAGAGGCCAAAACTAAGTGTGCAAGAGAATGGAAAAAGTATACAAGAGAAAGGTCCCTGGAAAATAAGAAGATTAGCCAAAGAGGCAGAAACAAATGCGCATGGATAAGGAGAGAGGTCCAGCGGCAATACGAGAATGACGCAACATCGAAAATCAAATCTTACTTAAAACTGTTGTGCAACCAGGAGGAAAACAACAATCAGGGACTAAGTAATCAGGCTGATGAAGGAAGGAGGGAAGATCACAAGAAATGATCAAAAAGTATTTGAAGAGCTCAACACGGGATTTAAAAAAGTATTTTTAGTGGAGACAGAAAGGACTCCAGCAAACCGGGATGGTAGGTTACACCAGCAAGTGCTGAACACAATACCACACACACACATAACCGAGGAGGAGGTGAAGAAGCTGCTAAGTGAGCTAGATACCTCAAAGCCGATGGGACCGGACATCTTTCCATGGGTCCTGAGAGAGGTAACAGAGGTACTATGTGTGCCACTAACAACCTTTAACACATCTATTGAAACAAGGTAATTACCAGAGGTGTGGAAGACAGCAAATGTAGTCCCAATCTTTAAGAAATGAGATAGACAGGCAGCATTAAACCACAGATCAGTGTCATGGAGAAATCTATCAGATGCGTGGTGGAACACCTAGAATGGAATGAGCTTATACACGTTAACAAGAACGGTTTCAGGGAGGGGAAGTCCTGTGTCACACACCTACTTGAGTTTTATGAGGTAACAGAAGTAAGGCAAGAGAGAGAGAGAGAGAGAGAGAGAGGAAGGAGGAGAGAGAGAGAGAGAGAGAGAGAGAGAGAGAGAGAGAGAGAGAGAGAGAGAGAGAGAGAGAGAGAGAGAGAGAGAGAGATGGGTAGACTGCATTTTCTTGGACTGTAAGAAGGTTTTTAACACAGTTCCGCACAAGAAACTAGTACAAAAGGTAGAGGAGCAGGCAGGAATAACAGAAAAAGCACTGTAATGGATCAGAGAATACCTGACAGGAAGGAAACAACGAGTGAAGGTATGTGACGAGGTGTCAGCGTGGGCGCCTGTGACGAGCGAGGTTTCCAACAAGGGTCATTCCTAGGGCCGGTACGTGTATGACATGACGGAAGGGAGAGAATCAAGACGTATCCCTGTTTGCAGAGGATGTGAAGCTAATGAGGAGAATTCCAACAAAAATAGGATCAGGTAGGACTACAAATGGATCTGGACAGGTTACAAGCCTGGTCCAACAACTGGCTCCTGTAGTTTAAGCAAATGGAAAGTCATAAAAATTGGGAAGGTCAAAGAAGGCCGCAGACAGAGTACAGGATAGGGAGCCAAAGACTGCAAACCTCATTCAAGGACAAGGATTTTGGGGCGAGTATAACTGGTAAACCTAAGAATAGCATTTCGAGACCTTAGTAAGGAATCATTCAAGACACTGTACACCGTGTACGTCAGACCATATTAGAGGATGCAGCATCAGTATGGAACCCACACCTTGTCAAGCACGTCAAGAAATTAGAGAAAATGCAAAGGTTTGCAACAGGACTAGTCCCGAAGATTTGGGATATGTCCTACGAGGAGAGGTTAAATGAAATCAACCTGACGACACTGGAGGACAGGAGGAATGGAAGGGGGAAATGTAACGACATATAAAAAACAGAGGAACTGACAAAGTAGATAGGGAGAGGATGTTCCAGAGATGGGACACAGCAACAAGGGGTCACAACTGAAAGTTGAAAACTCAGATGAGTCACAGGGATGTTAGGAAGTATTTCTTCGATCATAGAGTTGTCAGAAAGTGAAACAATCTGGAGAGATCCACCCCAATTCCCCCCACGATAACAATCACCCTACACCTCCGCCCCCCTCCCCTTCTATAGCTATAACTATAAACTTATGTTGAAAAATGGTATAAAATACCGACAAGTTGATGACTAAGACACTTGTGCAACAGTTGGTTATAATTATTAACGAAAAGTTTCTACTTCACAGCAGGTTTCTTCAGTCAAATACAGAGGCAGAAGGTGTAGTAGTGAAATTAAGATGTAATCAGTCCATCAACCTTAGAGAAATAGTATTTGAGGTGGTCAGTCCCTCAGCATTGAGAAGAGCTCAGCTAAATGGACTTGAACTCTTCTCCAGGCTGAGGGACTGACCACCTCAAATATTATTTTTCCAAGATTGATGGACTAATTACATCATCTTCATTTCACTACTTTATCTGCTGACTCTGTTTGACTGAAGAAGTTTACTGTGTAGGCGACAAGTTTCAGCAATAAAGACACCCAACTGATGCACATGTCTTAATCAGCAACTATAATATTCCAGCCTCACATCTTTCCTTACAAGTGAGTAGTAAACAGAGAGTCTGGACACCACAAAACAGAACAGAGTAAAAGGAAGCTCAGACTATGGTACGTAAATACAAATATATTATCAACAAGTGATGACTTGAAAGAAGAGATACGAGAGATAACTTTAGACATGGCTCTCACAGAGACAAACAGATAGTAGAAGCAGCCTCAGACACAGCCATCACAGAGACAAAGTTCTCATATTAAACTTGCATAATCATCCAAAGCAAATGTGATATCCTTACTGTATTACTGTATTCACGGGAAGCACTAAAACTCTCGTAGGATATTAACCATACTCAATCCGAGGAAGTGGAGCATAGCCCCAATCCCTAGGATCAAGAGCACGTCACCAGCATCAATGGATCTAACGTGAAGAGAAAAATGTCATACAAAAAGGAAGGCTACTGACTCTAGCATATATTAGAGGAAACCCATTAATGGGTTACATCCATTGGGAGTTTTCTTAGCTCCTCTCCCTGGATGCGACCCACAACAGTCTATTAACTCCTGTTCACCTAGGATGATGAACATGGGCATCAAGTGTTAGAAAACTTGCCCACGTCATGACGTATCATCCAGGACTGAACACAGGTCCTTCAACTGTGAGTCTGGGTGTTACCACTGAGTTAGCGAGGCAGCCAGAGGAACGTAGAGAAACTTTCTTACCTTGATGCAGGATCGGTGTTTCTTGAGGGATATAATGTTGTTGATGGGTTGGCAACACTTCCTGCACCAGTAAGGAGAAGACTTGTCGTCAGTCTCAATCACTGAACCGTTACTAACACTTCTGGGTGTTCCACATTCTTGCTTATCCTCCTCGTCCATAAGAATCTGATAATTAAACACCAGATTAAGAGAAGTTGCAGAGGTTGGTGGATGAATTTGGTAGGATATGTAAAAGAAGATTGGAGGGAGAGAGTATGGAGGAGGTGAATGTGTTCAGATATTTGGGAGTGGACGTGTCAGCAGATGGGTCTACGAAAGATGAGGTGAATCATAGAACTGATGAGGGCAAAAGGGTGAGTGGTGCACTTAGGAGTCTGTGGAGACAAAGAACTTTGTCCTTGGAAACCAAGAGGGGAATGTATGAGAGTATAGTTTTACCAACACTCTTGCATGGGCGTGAAACATGGGTGATGAATGTTGCAACGAGGAAAAGGCTGGAGGCAGTGGAGATGTCATGTCTGAGGGCAATGTGTGGTGTGAATAAAATGCAGAGAATTCGTAGTTTGGAAGTTAGGAGGAGGTGCGGGATTGCCAAAACTGTTATCCAGAGGGCTGAGGAAGGGTCGTTGAGGTTGTTCGGACATGTAGAGAGAATGGAACGAAACAGAATGACTTCGAGTGTGTATAAATCTGTGGTGGAGGGGAGGTGGGGTAAGGGTCGGCCTAGGAAAGGTTGGAGGGAGGGGGTAAATGAGGTTTTGTGTGCGAGGGGCTTGGACTTCCAGTAAGCATGCGTGAGCGTATTTGATAGGAGTGAATGGAGACAAATGGTTTTTAATAATTAACGTGCTGTTGGAGTGTGAGCAAAGTAACATTTATGAAGGGATTCAGGGAAACCGGCAGGCCGGACTTGAGTCCTGGAGATGGGAAGTACAGCATCTGCACTGAAGGAGGGATTTTAATGTTGCAGTTTTATAACTGTAATGTAAGTATGCCTCTGGCAAGACAGTGATGGAGTGAATGAAAGTTTTTCTTTTTCGGGTCACCCTGCCTTGGTGGGAGACGGCCGATGTGCTAATAAAAAAAATGAAGACATGTATATTGTTTCTCTCCAACATCCCCTCCTCTCCCACAATGACAGTGTGTTAGTGTGTGTGTGTGTGTGTGTGTGTGTGTGTGTGTGTGTGTGTGTGTGTGTGTGTGTGTGTGTGTGTGTGTGTGTGTGTGTGTGTGTGCAAGCTGAATAAAATAGTATTAATAGCTCATTTGCTGATGATGAGTTAAGATGTGGAACAGGAGAATAACATTACAAATAACAACGAGAAACACGACTCACGTTAAACATTTTGGAGCCAAATATCCTCGTGGAGCTTCTCGAAAATATGTGAATGAAAATGATACTTTGGCTGAAGATCCAGAATTCGATTATCAGAATTAAGAGTATAAATAGTGTAGGTACTAACTTACTCGCACGTATTTCTTACTTTAATCAAAGTAGGTGTCAGAGTTAGTTACATGCATGAGAATTCAAAGTATACATAGTGTAGTAACTTACTCGCACGTATTTCTTACTTTAATCAAAGTAGGTGTCAGAGTTAGTTACATGCATCAGGCGTGAAGATGGTGTCGATGTAATTTGCAAGATGCTGTTAAAAAATAATTTGTCAGGTTACCTTTATTTGGTGTTTTAGACTTCTGACGTGGCTCCTCAGAGAGGCCGGAGAGACGAAGAATCTTTTACACATATTACACCTGTACCTCACACCGTCACTCATTAAGTTGACGTGACCTGCCGCTAATGCTTCTGTTACTACCTCATCCTCCTGTCAGGGGAAAACGGGACCAAAATTACCACTAATTGCTCTTACTTCACCCACCACTAACTCTACTCATCCTGTGTATACAATAGCTACTCAGATTTGTATACATGAGTGTACATTCTATAAACACTAGATAAGGGCGAAACGTTATATAATGAAAGGTTCACTTTTCTACGTTTTATTTCGTATACGTAGTTGTGAAACTGTACCTGTTGCAAAAGTTGCTGAGGTGTGTTGGTCATGACTGGTCCCTGTTGCACAGGTTGCTGAGGTGTGTTGGTCATGACTGGTCCCTGTTGCACAGATTCCGGACACAACAATGCTCGTAAATCCAACTGGAAATATACAGATTTTAGCAGGCAGTGACGAAGGTGAAGTACGCCACTATAATGAATACGAAAAATGATGTATTGAATCTTTCAAGCATTGTATCCAAGAAACTGTAAGATCTACGATAGATCTGTATGACGTAACTAGATAAGTATGCTAGTCATTACACAATAGATATGAAGGAGTGTTGAATGCTTCTATTACCATTTTCTGATGTTTCTGAGTGCAGAGGTGAGACCTGATGGAGGCCTTGGAGGCGAGGTTCTGCTCACAAACATTGCAGCAGTAAGGTCCGTTCTCAGTTTCTATCATGGTGACTTGACCAGCTTGGAGAGCCTCGGTCAACTCGTCCACTTGCTGCCTGCCACCTGCACCACCCACACCTGCGACGTCCACACCTGCACCACCCACGCCTTCGACGCCCACACCTGCACCACCCACACCCGCGACGCCCACACCTGTACCGCTTACCTTTACCTAATAATCCAGTCAAGGATGCATTTGATACTTTATGTATATACATGTTTTTAGGTAAGGTAATGAATGTATATTGGTATTATATTCACAAGGGAGCGTTAAACCGAAGGGGTTATTCAACGCCTGGGAAATGAAGTGTGAGAGGAAATTAGATTCGATCCAAGAAAGGAGACGGTACTTCGATTTCCTGGCATCCATGTACCTCCCTGGAAGGAATGACTTATTATATTAGCACATATAATAATAATGTATGCATACATTGGACACAAGAGTGTACCGACAGTAATTTAGGCAAGTCTTACAGTGTAAAACTTGCCTAGATTACTATTGGTCATGAGTAACTCACGTGAATAAGAGTGAATAAGTTAATGATGTCCTCTGATGCTCTTATCCTAGAAGCGACCCACAATAGTCAGCTTACATCCCTAAGGTCTCCATTTGCTCCAGAACTGAGGCTGGATCTTTCGCTTGTGAATCGAAGTCACGAGCCATCCGAAGTCTACTGTTGACGCATAATGAATAAAGCCAGAACAACCGTCGCTTAACCTGACTTAACGTGCCGCTCCACTACGACATGGACAATACCAGTGTATAATAAACATGAGTTCTTTAGCATTTTAAGTACCTTATTCTGGTGTTTCTGGGTCGTGAGGTGGGTCTTGATGGAGGTCTTGGAGGCGAGCTTCTGGTCGCAAACATTACACCGGTAAGGTCCCTTCTCGTCACCCAGCTGGGTCACTTGACCCACCTGCACGGCCTCGGTCAAGTCTTGCACCAGTTGCCAGCCACCTGCCCCACCAACACCAGTGCCGCGCACACCTGCGCCACCCACACCTGCGCCGCCCACACCTGCGCCGCCCACACCTGCGCCACCCACACCTACGCCACCCACACCTGCGCCACCCACACCTGCGCCGCCCACCTGTCAGGAGATAATATATTCCATTTCACTGACAATAGGTGTTTTTTCAATGGTGTAAGATGTAACCCAACACCACCAGAACTAACATCACCACAGTTTTAACACCACCAGAACTATCATCACTGTTTTAACACCACCAGAACTAGCACCACAAGAATTAAAACTAAAACTAACATCACAATTCTAACACCACCAGAATTAACAAAACCAGAATTATCATCACAGTTCTAACACCACCAGAATTAACACCAACAGAACATCGCAGTTCTAACACCATAACTAACATCACCACACCTCTAACAACACCAGAACTAACATCAACGGAACTAACATTACATTTCTAACATAACTAGAACTAGCACCTCAAGAACCAACACCACAGCTCTAACACAACCACAAGACTAACACCACCACATAACTAACACCATCACACCACTAACACAACCACACCACTAACACAACCACACCACTAACACCAACACCACCACACCACTAACACCACGCCAGTAAACGCCACATCACTAACACGACCACAGCTCTAACACCACCACACCATTAACACTTCCACAGCACAAACACCATCACAGCACTAACACAACAGCGCTAAAACCAACACAGCTCTAACACCACCACATCACTAACACCTCCACAACACAAACAACACCACAGCTCTATCACAACAACAGCTCAAACGCCACCATACCACTAACAACATCGTAAGTCTAATGCCATCACATTACCAACACCACCACAGCGCTAACACCACCACACCATTAACACCACTCTAATAACACCACATCACTAACACCACCAAAGGTCTAACACGACCACAGCTCTAACACCACCACACCATTAACACCACCACAGGTCTAATACCACCAAATCACTAACACCACCACAGCGCTAATACGACCACAGCACTAACACCACCACAGGTCTAAAATCACCACAGAACTAACACCACAACAACACTAACACCAAAACATCTCCAACACCATCACAGCTCTATCACAACCGCACCACTAACACCACCATAGCTCTAACACCACTACATCACTAATACCACCACAGCGCTAACACCACCACAGGTCTAACACCACCACCACACCACTAACACCACCACAATACTAACACCACCACAGCTCTATCACACCACACCAATAACATAACCACATCACTAACACCACCACAGGTTAACACCACTACAGCTTTAAAATCACCACACTGCTACCACAAGTCTAACACCACCAAACGTCTAACACCGTCACAGCTCTATCACCACCATAGCTCTATCATCACAACAGCTTTAACACCACCACACCACTAACACCATCACACCACTAACATCACCACAGGTCGATCACCACCACAGCTGTAAAACCACCACAGGTCTAACACCACCACACCACAAATACCACCACAGGTTTAACACCACCATACCACTAACACCACTAAAGGTCTAACACCACCACACCACCACAGGTCGAACACCACCACACCATGAACACCACCACACCCCAACACCATCACAGCTTTAAACAGCACACTGCTACCACAGGTCTAACACCACCATACGTCTAACACACCACAGATCTAAAACCACCGCACCACTAACACCACCCCAGGTCTAACACCAACACACGTCTAACACCACCACAGATCTAAAACCACCGCACCACTAACACCACCACAGATTAAAACCACCGCACCATCTAACACCACCACAGGTCTAACACCATCCCACCACTAACATCACCACAGGTCTAACACCACCACACCACTACTACCACCACATGTCTAACACCACCAATCACTAACACACCGCAACCAATAAAAACCACCACACCACTAACACTATCACACTATTAACACTACACCACTAACAGTCACCACACTACTAACACTACCCCACCAAAACACACCACCACACTACCCCACCACTAACACACCACTACCACTAACACTACCATCACCACTGACACACCACACCACTAACAACCGCCACATCACTAACACACCACTAACACTATCACACCACTAACACACCACTACTAAAACCACCACACACCTCAACACTAACCCACCACTAACCCCACCACAACACAAAACCCCACTACTACACCACTAACACACCCCACCACTAACAACTCACACCACACTCACTAACACTGCCACACCACTAACACTATCACACCACTAACACTATCACATTACTAACACACCACTAACACACCACTAACACTACCCCACCAGTAACCCCACCACTAACACTACCCACCACTAACACACCACACCACTAACACTACCCCACCACTAACACACCACACCACTAACACTACCCCACACTAACACCCCACACCACTAACACTACCCCACACTAACACTACCCACCACTAACACACCACACCACTAACACTACCCCACCGCTAACACACCACTAACACTACCCCACCACTAACACTACCCCACCACTAACACACCACACCACTAACACTACCACACCACTAACACTACCACAACCACTAACACACCACTAACACTATCACACCACTAAACATCAATAACACTATCACCCCACAAACACTACCCCACTACAAACACCCAAACCCCCCCTAACACTACCCACCACAAAACATTACCCCACCACAAAGACTACCACACCTTTAACACCACCCCCACTAAGACCCCCACACCACTAAGCCATCACCCCACTAAACCCCCCACACCACTAACATCCCACCCCTCTAACACCACCAACCACCCCAAAAACACCACCAAAACCAAAACACCCCAACAAACACTACCAAAACCTCTAACACTCCAAGCACAAACACCCCACACCAATACACTACCTACCACTAACACCCCACAACAAAAAACCTCCATACCACAACAACATCAAACAAAAAAACCTCCCAAACCACAAACAAAACCCAAAACCATTAACACCCAAAACCAACCCCACCCACTACTAAAAATCCACTATTAACACCATAAACCATTAACACCCCAACCACAACACTACCAAAAATATAACACCACCACCCCACTAATATCCATACCCAACACCACCACAACAAAAACATTTACACCATTAACACTATCACCCTCCCCTACCAACTATTAAACATCATAACACACCATTAACCCACCACACCACTAAAAACTACCCCCATTAACACTACACACCATTAACACTCCACACCAGTAACATCCCACCCCATTAACACTACCCACCATTAACCCCAAACCCACTACATGCCACACCATTAACACAACGCATAACATACCCACCTTTACACCTACACTAGTACACCCATTAACCCCACGCACTAAACCCCACACCATTAAACCACGCATAACACTACCACACCTTTAAACACCAAGCATTTCCCCACTACCACCCTTTAAACCCACAACACAAAACATCCCCCACAGACTAAAATCACCCAGCTCTAAACTACCATACCATTAACACAACAGCCTAACCCCCTCACCCACAACCTAATTCACCAAAGTATTTAACACTTAAGAGCTCTAAACCCTAGTGTGTAAGATAATTTTTGGGCCCCTTTTTAATCCCTTTATTCTGGTTTTTGGGTAAAAGATGGGCCCCTTTTGATTGAGGTTTTGGGAGGCGAGGTTTTTTTTCGAAAACATTCCCCGGAAAAGTCCCTTCTCGTCACCCAACTGGGTCTTTTGACCACCTGCACGCCTGGGTAAAGTCTTGCACCAGCTCCCGGGCCACCTACGCCCCAACACCTGCGCCACCCACCTGAAATGGGTCACCGAAAAATGTTAACCTTTCAAGGCGTCAGTTGAGTAATTTTTACCTTCGAAAGGCTGACGAAAAAGAAGGCATGGGGGCGCCCTTTTGATTTGGGAGTGTAGGGGGGGTTTTTAGCGGTTGGGGGGGTGAGACGAGTCGAGGTGACCCCAACTGCAATTGTAAAAAATAAAAGTTAGTGAAGCTTCCCAAGGCTTGCAAAAAGTTTTCCCCCAATCGCCCCCGAAAAACCCAAAACATCCCAGACACGGGGATGTTTTACAGATTAATCAAGGTTCAAAAGGAGCGAGTTAAGGGGCACGAAAGTACCCATGTCTCCTAATAACATGCTTTTTTTTCCACTATCTTACCTTGTCCATAATTACCCATTTGTTTGTCTTTTCGTAAGGGAAGTCTAGGATCTTTCCTTATTCAGGTAAACTTTTTTTTTGGGAAAACCCATTGTGTTGCAGAGGTCTGAGCAAGCTGAGCAAAAGCTAGCCCTCTTGAACCTTCAAAGGGAACAAAAAATGATACAGTTTAAACTGAGTAGAACAATGATTAAAAAGAGGTGTAAGTGCTACAACTACTTAAAGGGGTAAGTGCTACAGCCACTGTTAAAAGGTGTAAATGCACAACCCCTTTAAGAGGTGTGCACAACCATGGGAAAAGGTGTAAGTGCTACAACTACTGTAAGAGGTGTAAGCGCTACAACAATTTAAGAGGTGTAGCGCTACCCCAGTAAGAGGAAACATTTCCACAACCCTGACTCGTTTTCCTGCCTGTTTTCGTACACAAGAAATAGTACGGGCACAGCACTGAAAACCTTTCGGAACCTATTTAATCACGTCACCCCTTCGACGCTTTCCCGTTAAGTATTCTTGATCTATTTGGGATAATCCTTGTGAAATATTTTACTTAAGCCCTTTATTCGTCTTTTAAATTTTACATTTTACCCCACGAAAACGAATACCGATTTCAAACGGACCTATATGGGGGGGAAAAAACCGCGATCAGAGAGTCAGTAAACTCCAACCGCGCGTCACTGTGCCAGCTGCTACAATAAGTTTCATCCAATTGGTTATTTAAAAACCATAAGAAGGTTAGTAGGGACCACTGTGACAACAAATCTCTTCACGTAAAAAAATTTCATTTGTGGTCGCGTGGGCCAGCTAACCTTCCCCATGGTGTTTAAAAAAAACCTAGTTGGGAGAATCTTATTGTGCCCGCGGGACAGTGGGTAAAGCGTCGGTTGGATTTTATGACTTCCCGTCACGGGTTCTTTCCCCGCCCTGGTTGTTTTTTCAATATACAGTCACCTATCCTTCCCCTTTTTCTCGTGCGCGCACTCACCAACTACGTTTTTCTGTCATAGGACTTCAGCAGATTTGTGAGACCTGATTTTTCAGCTTTAAAATAAGGTGGGGGTTGTTTTTGAACCCGCTTTTTCCCCCGGTACCCACCATTCTCCATATTTTTTCCACAACCTTGATACTATGCAGTCGGTGACACTAACCTCTAGTTTAATGTACCCTTCTGTCACTTTCTGGGAAAAAGCTAGCAATTTTGCTTTTTTCACACCCCCGGGCCCGCCCCTGTTTCACTTTACTTTTAGAATTATTATAAACAAATGAAGCGCTAAACCTACAAGGGTTATACAGCTTCACTTGTTCAAGATTCGGCTACCCGGGTTTATCAGTTTTCTTCCTTCTTTCAGAAACCCCCGAGGAGCACTTGGTTCCATTACTTTGAGGTCTTAACACTCTCGTAGTTTACCTTCATTGGTTTTGTGTCCAGTACTCTTGGTATCTCTTCCTCCTTGATTTCAGTAGCGTTTCCTGTTTCTAATTTAATACCTTTGTAAACTTTTGTTGACTGTTGCCCCCACTTTCCGCTTTTTTTTAGTGGCTTCCCTGTGCTTCACATTTCATCTTCCCGAGTGGGCCGTATAACAAATTTGGGTTTATATTTGGGTTTTAATGCCTGTTAATCTTTAAAACGTCGTAGGCCCTCTTTTTTATCCTGTGTAAGATTTTTGGTCTTCTGCTCACTTCTTTTTTCCCCGGGTTTTTTGCTTCCCATATTCTCCAGGGTTTTTCCGTTTTGTTTCTTTCTCTTTCGCTCTGGGGTGAACTATGGGTTAATTCTGTTCTTGTCTTCGCTTCTGTTTCTGGGAATAAATTTCTGTTCTACTTGCTGGTACTTTCCAGCTATATACTCCATCATTTCGATCGTTGCTTCTCTATCTAGCTCTCTTTACCATTGCTTTTTCTTTAAGAATTACCTCATATCATCACTATTTTGAAGACTGGTTTGTACCTTTCTTCACGCTGTGTTTCTCAACACTTTTACTTCCACAAGATATTCCAACCCCAGTACTGGTGGTCGCTAGCACCGAGTGACCTCTTATATTCAATGTCCCTTATACCCTTATATATGTCTGTGTATCTGTGTATATGTTAGTTACTAGTTGTCAAAGGCACTGTACTCACCTACTTGTACTCACGTATTTGTGGTTTCAGGAGTCGAGATTCGGCTCCTGGCCCCGCCTCTTCACTGATCGCTACTAGGTCCTCTCTCTCCCTGCTCCATGAGCTTTATCATACCTCGTCTTAAAGCTATATATGCTTCCTGCCTCCACTACTGTGTGTGTGTGTGTGTGTGATATGCTTTTCTCCCTACCCTCTCTCTTCCACGGGATAGAAATATTAATATACAAATAATATCAGCGCCATTTCTGAGTGAATTATGTACTACACACACACACACACACACACACACACACACACACACACACACACACACACACACACACACACACACACACACACACACACCTCTTGTGTATTTCACGTGACGACAACAGAGTCGTAGATGTAAGCACTTTCCCAGAAATATTAAATAGAAAACCTCTCAATATAATTCTGGAAACGAAAATCTAAGAAACCAAAGTATTACGACTCATTGCTTACTAAATAACGATGGATTCTAGACTGACTTATGCTTAATCTCCTGATCCTGGAAAAGACAAGAAAATCATTGAATGGATGATGTAAACAGTGACAACACTGCAACAAAATGAGGAATGACAAAGAAATTATAGAATAAATTAAACAAGGGGAAGATTTGAAACTTTGAAATATATATTGGCAAAAAAATTATGAGAGGGAGAGAGGAGAGAGAGAGAGAGAGAGAGAGAGAGAAGAGAGAGAGAGAGAGAGAGAGAGAGAGAGAGAGAGAGAGGAAAGCAATTAATATATCCTAGAGAATATATTAAAATTTGGAAGTGAAAGAATTAGACTAAAAAAATTTTAAATATTTATGATGAAATAAGAAAAAAAACCAGAACACCAGAGGTTTGATACGAGTCTTGAAATATAAAACTAACCAACCAATATTAAATCGTTGAAAGAAACAGAAACAGGATAGATAATAGTGTCACAGTTGGAAAAAAAACCATGTTATCATACCAGGAATAAACATGAAAAAAAAGATGGAGATAAATTGTCATAAAAGCAGGATATATATAATATATATATATTATATATATATATATATATAATATATATATATATATATATTATATATATATATATATATATATATAATGCTTTATATGTTAGTGTAAATATAATGATAGTTAAAGTTGATTCACATTTTAGAGATTTAGTTTCCTTGCTTGACGGTGCACAACCTTAATGACTCGGTGGACAGGTGATGTGCACAACCTTAATGACTCGGTGGACAGGTGATGTGCACAACCTTAATGACTCGGTGGACAGGTGATGTGCACAACCTTAATGACTCGGTGGACAGGTGATGTGCACAACCTTAATGACTCGGTGGACAGGTGATGTGCACAACCTTAATGACTCGGTGGACAGGTGATGTGCACAACCTTAATGACTCGGTGGACAGGTGATGTGCACAACCTTAATGACTCGGTGGACAGGTGATGTGCACAACCTTAATGACTCGGTGGACAGGTGATGTGCACAGCCTTAATGACTCGGTGGACAGGTGATGTGCACAGCCTTAATGACTCGGTGGACAGGTGATGTGCACAACCTTAATGACTCGGTGGACAGGTGATGTGCACAACCTTAATGACTCGGTGGACAGGTGATGTGCACAACCTTAATGACTCGGTGGACAGGTGATGTGCACAACCTTAATGACTCGGTGGACAGGTGATGTGCACAACCTTAATGACTCGGTGGACAGGTGATGTGCACAGCCTTAATGACTCGGTGGACAGGTGATGTGCACAGCCTTAATGACTCGGTGGACAGGTGATGTGCACAACCTTAATGACTCGGTGGACAGGTGATGTGCACAACCTTAATGACTCGGTGGACAGGTGATGTGCACAACCTTAATGACTCGGTGGACAGGTGATGTGCACAACCTTAATGACTCGGTGGACAGGTGATGTGCACAACCTTAATGACTCGGTGGACAGGTGATGTGCACAACCTTAATGACTCGGTGGACAGGTGATGTGCACAGCCTTAATGACTCGGTGGACAGGTGATGTGCACAGCCTTAATGACTCGGTGGACAGGTGATGTGCACAGCCTTAATGACTCGTGGACAGGTGATGTGCACAGCCTTAATGACTCGGTGGACAGGTGATGTGCACAACCTTAATGACTCGGTGGACAGGTGATGTGCACAACCTTAATGACTCGGTGGACAGGTGATGTGCACAACCTTAATGACTCTCGTGCAGACAACAGGGATTGAAACCTAGCAACCTAGCCAATTAATAATTTAGCCGAGGTTATAGCCTGTAATGACATATTGATATAATAAAATAAACAGAAGGCAAGGAAAAACTAGACGTTTAAAAGTTGTATATGCAAATAAAAACATATGAAATACATGTCCATTAGTGTAAGAAATCTTTCAAAATACAGAATCAAAATAATGGCAAAAAAGAACTAGAGAATTAAGCGATGAAAAAGATGACGAATTTTATTATAAGGAAATAAGAGATTATTGCGCCTTGTAGTACCTTATTCTGGTGTTTCTGGGTCGTGAGGTGGGTCTTGATGGAGGTCTTGGAGGCGAGGTTCTGGTCGCAAACATTACACCGGTAAGGTCCCTTCTCGTCACCCAGCTGGGTCACTTGACCCACCTGCACGGCCTCGGTCAAGTCTTGCACCAGCTGCCCACTACCAGAATCAAAAAATTTGCCACTAAGCTGTAATAACATTGATAATTTTACAGGCTGAAATAAAATATTTTTATTATTATTATTATTAACAACTAATCATTAGATTTACACTTTAAGGTAGATACAAATTATTAGTGGTTAATATTAGAATTAATAATGTAGTTTTAGGCTTTAATATAGGTTAATATTAGGTTGCACTGAGTAGGCTAGGCTAGGAATTTCTTCTTGCACAAGCACCCGCGGTTCAACACCTACGATATACTAACCTCAGAGACCAACCCAGTTTTCATATTAGTTCTGGCTGCCAACATCGTGCTTGAGTCCTTCCGAACGAATCATGGATACAAGTTTCTGCGCCAGACCCGTTTGTGATACTCATTACTGCTTTTTCATTCCTGGTTATGTGACCACTAAATACTAGGGGGAAACGTAGGAATAGTTAGCCTTTACCGTACGGTTAAGAAGCAGGCCTACCACCAACAGTCAGGTGATCTGTGATTCAGATTTTCTGTAGGCTTGTGGGACTGAGATGCTTTGAGTCTTGGAGTATCTGTGTCAATGTCAATAATACTTGCCAGAGATGCAGCTCACAAAGGGCTAGATACACACTTTTACAAACATAGAAATAGCTAATCTTCCTAGCTGAGAAACTCTTAAATAGGCATGCTAGAAGAAGCCATAACAGTATATATGATCAATGAGCAGAGTATTACATGGATATGTGGGAATAAGGGCAAGAATTACAACAGTGAAAAAAAAAACATACCACGGGTGGGGATAGAACCCGCGATCAGAGAGTCTCAAAACTCCAGACCGTCGCGCTAGCCACTGGACCAGCTAGCTGTAAAAAAAGATTCATCCAACTAGGTATATTTCTACACCATAGGAAAGTTAGCACAGGCACCACTGTGACCACAAATGCAAGTTTTTACAGACGAATCTCCAGCTAGCGTGGCCGTGACGAACTCTAGCTCAAGTCCCTTCACTGCCGTAAACATGACTTAAGAAATCGTAATGACACGATTGCAAATAAACCATACCCCCGGCTGGGATTGAACCCGCGGTCATAGAGTCTCAAAACTCCAGCCCGTCGCGCTAGCCACTAGACCAGCTAGCCACAATAAGATTCATCCAACTAGGTATATTTCTACACCATAGGAAAGTTAGCACAGGCACCACTGTGACCACAAATGCAAGTTTTTACAGACGAATCTCCAGCTAGCGTGGTCGTGACGAACTCTAGCTCAAGTCCCCTCAAAGTCGTCAAGATAACTCACGAAATCGTAATAACACGATTGCAAACAAACCATACCACGGATGGGGGTAGAACTCGCGATCAGTCTCTCAAAACTCCAGACCGTCGCGTTAGCCACTGGCCTAGCTGGCTACAAAAAAAAGCACGAAGCACTCAGAAGTTTGACTGATATAAAGAGTTTTTTTTTATATTTTATTTAAAAGTACATCACAGCACATAAAAAATAACAAACAGGCTTTATCTGTCAACAAATGTAATAAACTTTCCATGGCCATATAATACCACATACAGATATAATAATTACACATCATGTAACAAAAATTATCTAATGAAAACACAAACAGTAACCAAAGTAAGGAGAGAATTGATACATACTTCCGTACTAACTACATCAAAAGTAAAACCAGATATTCTGTACTATGACTGAACGTCATAAGGTACTAACTCAAAAGAGCACAGTGTGTTACATACCGTAGCCCTGCAAACTAAACCCCCCCTTCCCTAGACAGAACCCCCCCTTCCCTAGACAGAACCTCCCCTATCTGAAAAGTACAACATAAAATCAGACCCACAAGAGTGCACAATAAATTAAGTTAACCCTAACACATCTATAATGCTATCTAAAAGTATGAATCTTACGACACGTAAGAATATGAAGCATAAATATAAAGAGTTAAGGAGTTAGCATGCTCATGGTAGAGTCATGAGCTAGAGGGTTCAGAGATCTAGCTGGCTTGTTTACCCTTAACAACGGTACTAGCCACACTGTAAACTATCAGCACACCTCCCATACTTAAAGTATCCGGTCTCGAGTGAGTGAGCAGATATCATTGTAGAAATCTTCAACATAGTGAAGGCTTCATCGTTATCGTCTTCTATTGACCAACTACTACACTGAGCAGTTGTTGGCTCACTGCATTCCAACCACGATCAAGGTAACAAACTGGATCAAGTAACCCTCTGCCTACACCAATCGTGTAACATTTCTAATAACTGGTAGCTGGTAAATGGTTCCAACCCAATAATAAATAAATAAATATTATATATATATATATATATATATATATATATATATATATATATATATATATATATATATAATAAAACGACATTGAGAAACAGTAATATTCCAAGCGTTTACGTGATTTGTCACATCGTCAAGGAACATCATATACCGTACTAACTAAAATTAGACTATTCATAACGTTATCTATACAGGACTAAAACTATGGTAAAAATTACGTACTTGGCTATAATGGATTGATGTAACATCCGATGTACTCACTGATATGATTTAATTACACCAACAAGGAGACAACGTGGCCTCACCCACTCACTACCCACTACCTCCTCCTGACCTGAACTGACCTTTCTCCACTTCCCTCATCTCAATGTCACGTAGGCAACCATCAGCTAAACTCTCACCATACTCACTCACATGTAAACAATGCTTAGTGTTGCTGAAGATCTGTGAACTTTGCTGAGTGAATGTGTTATGTGTGGCAGGTCGTGCAGGTAACGACGGTGCTTGAGGTGACACTAGAGTGAGTGTGGCAGGTCGTGCAGGTAACGACGGTGCTTGAGGTGACACTAGAGTGAGTGTGGCAGGTCGTGCAGGTAACGACGGTGCTTGAGGTGACACTAGAGTGAGTGTGGCAGGCCGTGCAGGGAACGACGGTGTTTGAGGTGACACAAACTGCAAGTGTGCACAACTAAGTTAGAGCTTCTGTAAAGACTCGCGTTAGGAGATAGTTTTCCTGAGGAACAAAGCACCACTACCAATAATGAGATGGTGATGATGATAATAATAACAATAATTAATAATAATTATTTCTATCAAGTTATATAATTGATATAGGATAAGTTGACATTGATGACATACTTATAGAGATGCCCTAGTTATGCAGCCTCAAGATTAATTTATACATAATATAATAATAATTTATACAAGGTTAAGTTGCTTTACATGAATGATAAAGTTTACAATCACTGACATTTTTTTTATTTTACTTAAAACAATACAATACATGAAATAAATAAAAGAATATGGTATCACTTCTTCCACAGAAAATCATAATTCCTTTGTTAGAATACATCAGAAAATCAACTGTGTGCGTACACAAACTGTCCCCCTCCCCCACGTTATTATATCCCGAGCCTAAGTTATACGATGTTACGCAACATTTTACATATATCTACCGAATTCATACCATTTACATTATAATATTATGTGCAAAGAACTCTCAGACATACCATATGCATCAGTGTCTCATTTTTCATGTATTTATGTTTTCCAAACGCTCATAGTAGATAAACAGGCACATATATAACAAGAAATCAGTCACAACTTTAAGTAACGATTCCATCACCCAATTTACTGTATCTCAACAATGATGCATCTTAACAGCACACTGCTGTCCATAATTTAAGTTACCAACTCACCCAAGCCTGTGAGTGAATAAAACAGATTCCAAAACCAAACACAGTACCACTCAGTATGCTTGCACTTTTGCCTGCTTATACAAATAAACCCCTTTTCTGACGTGTAAAGTGTGCACAATACGCGCCTCACAATGACACTGATATATTATACACATACTAAAGTATGCATACACATGTGATTACAAGATTAAAAGTGTATGTACTCATTTGCCTTTATGTCCAACACAGCTCCATTCACAACTCGCACTGATACTCTTAGCATTCAATCTAAGCTCACTCTAACCACCCCGTGGGGTTTAAAGTGATCTGAAATGCCACAGCACCTCACACCCTGCTGCCCCTAGCCATTAAGGAAAAGCTGATTCAAACAAGTTTCCTTTCCTTGCCAAACTTCAACAAAAGCTATACTAGATGCTCGATTCCTCAGCATGTCTCGATCACTGAGAGTATATTATTATCTTGTACCTATCCTGTTGCAGTACAGAGAGTAATTACTCTCATTAACTCACGCTGGTTGTAACACTGGTCAGCCATGACGTGACTTACTGGCAGACGCTGGTACTGCATCTGGAATCAACTAAAGTGTTGATTCAAAAGACACCATTGCCTTTTCTTAAAGGTGCGGGCCCCTGAGGGCTGAAAAGGACTGAAGAGGGGCTGATATCCCCTTCTGGAGAAATTTTCTCCACACAAACACACACACACACACACATTATATATATATATATATATATATATATATATATATATATATATATATATATATTATATATATATATATATATATAATGTCGTGCCGAATATGTAAAACTGGTCAATTAGCAAGAACTCATTTAAAACACATTGTTCGCATCGCTTCCGGGCCGTGCGGACAGGCTGCGCAGACGCTCCTGATTGAGTTGGCTTTTGCGCAGTTTACCTGTTTGAGCTGCTACCCCTGGCGTTAGCTGGTGAAAACTTTATTTTCCAAGATGGCGCTGCATAGCAGCAGGCGCATCAACACTGTCTGCGTTGAGTTGACCCGTGGGGCTGTCACGGGAGCCACGATGGATTTGTTACTACCGGCGATTATCCGTGATACCTACGGTATCGCAAATGAAGAGATACGTGGTGTAGCACTTAATGGGACGACACGGATCTTCGTTAAATTGACGTCAGCAAATGTCTACGAAGCGGTGGTTGATAAGTATCAAGAGACCATTATAGGCGTCAATTCAGCTGTATCAGTACGTCTTCATGATGTATCTCGACATTACACATGGGTAAAAATCAGGAATGTGCCTTTTGAGGCGACTGATTTTGTTATAAAAGATGAGCTACGTAATTATGGTACGGTTCATATGGCCTCTGCAGGTCGGTGGGCCGCTGGACCTTATGCTGGAATGTTGGAAGGAACATATTCAGTCAAAAAGACCTTACGCCATCCCATACCATCCTATGTTATGTTGCAAGCATTTCGAACTCAAGTATATGTAACATATGCGGGGCAACGTCATACGTGTCGGCTGTGTGGGTCGTATGACCACATAGCGGCGCAGTGTGGTAAGCGTCGTGGGAATCTCCAACTATCGCAACAGCAACAATCGGAAGAGGTCGAGGAAGGTGAGGGACGAGACCAGTCTTATGCTAACCTGTCTCGACAACGGTCATCTTGGAGTGATGAGGTAGAAAAAGCACAGGAGAATGCTTTGGAGGATGCAATACAGCGAGGAGAATCACCGTCACTGGACATAAATAAAGTATTTGAAGAGACTCTGCCCATTCTGGGGGAAGAGGATGTAGCGGCGTCTTTAGTGAAGGCACTGGATGTTTTGTTAGACGAGTCGATCGTCAACCGTGTGGAGGATCCAGGTGCAATTTTGGGATCGGTTGAGCATCATGGTGAGGCGACAGATGGAAGCATTGAGTCTAGTGTGTCACTTGGTATGATGTTGAATGTAGCAGAAGTGGAGGTGCATCACGATAGTACTAAAGAAATCCAAATGCAGGTGGAGGGTAGAACGCGAAAGCGAACTGCGATCCCATCGGACTCAGATGACGTGCTTACTCCTGCCCAAAGGCCAGGGAAAAAGTCTTGGGCGGAGGTACAGAGGAAAGGGAACAGTGAATCCACGAAACAAGAGTTTATCAAGGTGGTTCCCAAAAAAGGGGGGAGGGATAGAGGTGTTGTAAAATGTATAAGTGAAAAGTCTATACCTAGAACGAAAGGAAAATCCCATTAAGACTTTAAGGTTTTGACAATAAATATTAACGGTTTGAGATCTGAGCGGAAGCGAAAGTGGTTTAATGAATTTCTGGTGCGTCTAGATGTGGATGTGGTATTTCTCCAAGAACACAATTACAGAATTGGATATGAGTTAGAAATGGATGGTTACGATGTGTATATGGAATATGCGACGAGGTTAAAAGGGGGCGTCGCCATTCTGGTAAAGGAAAATAGCCCGTTTGTAGTATGGCATAGTGAAAGGGGGGAGGGGAGAGTGATTAGGGTGGATGGTTTACGGGGTAGAGTACACATAAGTTTTGTATGTGTATATGGGCCGGCCGAGGGAGATGTAAGACTTAAAACTCATTTTGTACAAGATGTATTAGTATATTATCTACGTAGTTTACCAAATGTAGCAATAATAGGGGGCGACTGGAACTGTGTAATACGACGAAAAGATGTGGAGCCTCGAGGAGCGGGTTGTTGCTTGGGGTTCCTGGGAGATTTATTGACAAGTGTGGGTTTAATGGATGTGTGTGTGTGGGGGGGGGGGTGGCATGGTGGAGCATACCTTCATTAGACGAGATTGTGCGGCGAGATTGGACAGAATGTACGTGTCTTGTGCGGTTACAGTGCCTGGAGTTTATCTGGAGAGAGTTCCGGGGGTCAACGCCCCCGCGGCCCGGTCTGTGACCAGGCCTCCTGGTGGATCAGAGCCTGATCAACCAGGCTGTTGCTGCTGGCTGCACGCAAACCAACGTACGAGCCACAGCCCGGCTGGTCAGGAACCGACTTTAGGTGCTTGTCCAGTGCCAGCTTAAAGACTGCCAGGGGTCTGTTGGTAATCCCCTTTATGTATGCTGGGAGGCAGTTGAACAGTCTCGGGCCCCTGACACTTATTGTATGGTCTCTTAACGTGCTAGTGACACCCCTGCTTTTCATTGGGGGGATGTTGCATCGTCTGCCAAGTCTTTTGCTTTCGTAGTGAGTGATTTTCGTGTGCAAGTTCGGTACTAGTCCCTCTAGGATTTTCCAGGTGTATATAATCATGTATCTCTCCCGCCTGCGTTATATGGAATACAGGTTCAGGAACCTCAAGCGCTCCCAGTAATTGAGGTGTTTTATCTCCGTTATGCGCGCCGTGAAGGTTCTCTGTACATTTTCTAGGTCAGCAATTTCACCTGCCTTGAAAGGTGCTGTTAGTGTGCAGCAATAATCCAGCCTAGATAGAACAAGTGACCTGAAGAGTGTCATCATGGGCTTGGCCTCTCTAGTTTTGAAGGTTCTCATTATCCATCCTGTCATTTTTCTAGCAGATGCGATTGATACAATGTTATGGTCCTTGAAGGTGAGATCCTCCGACATGATCACTCCCAGGTCTTTGACGTTGGTGTTTCGCTCTATTTTGTGGCCAGAATTTGTTTTGTACTCTGACGAAGATTTAATTTCCTCGTGTTTACCATATCTGAGTAATTGAAATTTCTCATCGTTGAACTTCATATTGTTTTCTGCAGCCCACTGAAAGATTTGGTTGATGTCCGCCTGGAGCCTTGCAGTGTCTGCAATGGAAGACACTGTCATGCAGATTCGGGTGTCATCTGCAAAGGAAGACACGGTGCTGTGGCTGACATCCTTGTCTATGTCGGATGTCGGAGAGTGAATGTGATAAATGTGTTTTTTTCGGATCATAGAGGAGTTATAATGGATGTAGATATTGAGGGTGTGCCTAGGAGGGGTCCATCATTTTGGAAATTGAATGTAAAGTTATTGAAGAGAGAGGAAAGTCGTTTGTCTTTTGGGCATATGTGGAAACGCCTGGTGGTTGAAGCACCTGGAGATGTGGCTTTGGTTAATTGGTGGGAAACGATAGCCAAAAAGCGAATTAAGGAATATTATATTAGTCAAGGGGTGAGATATAATCAGTTACAGTATGGTTTCCAACGATATTTAGAAGGGCAGTAGCGCGACTGCTATGTACAAGCGAATGCTAATTATCCTGTTATAGAAATTGAAAGAATTAAGGAGCAACTAAGAAATTTACAAAACGA